ATGTAATACAAAAATTAAATACTTTTGTATTAATAAAAGCATTAAAACTTCATTCCTTTTCATTAAATATCTTTAGTAAAGGATAAGGGTAGAAATTCTATTTTGGGACTTCAAGGCTAAAAACATGCCAATGAATAATAATTAGATTTATACTTCAAAAGAGAAGTTATTTTAAGATCTTTCACTTCCATATAAGGAAAGATTAAACGATTTGCTATGAGTAATAAATAATTTTGATGAGGCGTAAGAATACAGAAAAAGGCAATAGTGACTGGCCTCTTCAATCATCCTATAAAATGCAGGAGCAATGTTTTTGCGTGTGCTTTTTGTTGTTTATCATGCTTAAATAAAATCCGTCAGCTTAGACGGGATAGGGGTCTCCCCCCATCTCCAGCTTGGAGGGGGCTAAGATGTATGCTTTCACCATCTCTACTAAATGAAAAAGATAATACACAACATGGACTCGTTAATCATGCTGTTTTGACTTCTAATTAACTGAAAAATATCGGTGTGGATACACCGATATTTCAAGCCGCTCAGGATTTTTGCTTTGCGGAGGAAACCTGTAAAAGAAAACCAGTGTTTATAAATTTGAATCTTAGGCCTGGCAGTGCTACGCAGTTCTTTAGACGCCGGCTATGGCACTTTCTCATCCCATCACCCAACGGGGGTGAAAAAGAGAATCGCCGAAGGTTCCCATCCGAGTGACTGGGAAAAAATCGCCTAATTCCGTTCTGAAGAAATCCCATCCCTTTACAAGTGGCCTACGGAAAGTTTAGTTATGCCAGTGCTGCTCTGGATTCATCGTCGATGAAGTGTTCCTCACCCCGGAATGGTTTACGATGGTCTACTTAGATGTTCGACATTCCCTCCCTCCTACTCAGAACTCGAAGAAAAATAAGCTTCAATTTCTCCTTCAGTCTCGGTGTTAATTTATGAATCATTTTCACGAAAAAAAAATAATAATAATATTTTTCTCCTATCAACTTTAATTTGATGCTGTGGCTGTCAGGAGATATTTTGGATTAATTAGAACTTTATCCAGCTGCGTATCCTTTAAATATTTTTTTTGAAAACATTTATTTCTTTGATTTTTATTGATTAATTAGATTATGATTTTAAATTTTTTCTCATGCTTGATGTTTTAATTGAAACTATTATTATTCATACATTGGTCGTATTTAATGTTGAAATTTTTTTTCTTCAGTGGTGAGGCGCGTGTGGTGATCAACCACGTCGGCTGCCATTGTCAGCCAGTCCGTGGTTGATTGAGGGGTGTGCATGTTTTTGTTTGTCTTGCGTATTTTGTGTTTGGTTGTTGGGGATATATTCGAATTGTGTAGAGTAGGTTTCACTTAGATTGTGCAGCCTGTTATCAGTATCAGTTGGAAGAAATTTGAGACAGTCAATTGGTATGTTTATATACAGTTAAGTTAAATACTGTTAATTGTATTTCAAGAATACTAACAGATTACTGATTACTATTAACATTAACAAATTAGCTTAAATGTAGCTGGTTGAGACTATTGATGATAATGTTGAACCCTAGGTGACTTTTGTCGAGAAAAAAAATCTTATCTAAGAAACGTGGTCGCCGGAAAAGCAAAACAGCGTTTTACTTTCGTCCTCCCGCAGTACCGACGACCGGATCCATAGAATTGGTCCTATCACTTCCGGGGTGGCATTGTAACTGGTATGATGTTTCACCCTACTCTTTCTTGGAGATTTGGTGATCACGACACGTTTTGTGTGCCAGCTTGTTGTTGTGACACTAAAAATTATTTAAAAAAAGAAAGAAAAGTTAGGTTGTTCTGAAGAGAGTGTTGAAGCGTTGATAGCACTTTGGAGGGGTGTCCTATATGCCCTGGGGCAACTAACTGTCCTCCGTTGTGCTACCGTTTGTCCAACGCACCCTCTTCACTCCCTACCTGGTCCACCTCCTTCAGGAAGATTCAACTGATGTTGAGTCTTCCAACTCATACTCGGAGATTTGGAGGTGTTCACTAAATAAATTAAAAATTTTATTAGTCCCTATCAGCTCGATTTCTATCATCTGGGTCAGGGTCAAATATTTTTAAGGTTAATTGAAGCATTTATGAAATTTGTTTCATTAGAGGAGTATTACTGTGAAAGTTAGTTAAGAAAGTTAACTTAGCTATGAATTATTGACTGTCTCAGCACCCTTTGGTATACATATATAGACTAGCGGCATTACTTCACAAATACAAATAACATCAAACACATTACAATAACAAATAGCTAGTCACATCGCATTTTTTAAGATTTTTAAAAATTTTTTATAACATCTAACATCTATGACCTCACGGACAGCTGAAGAGCTGCCTGGCGCACTGCCTACCCCTAGTGACTAGGAGCAGGTCCAGTGGTGAAGCGTGTGTGGTGATCAACCACGTTGGCTGCCTTTGTGAGCCAGTCCGTGGTT